TAAACTGTGAATAAAATATATATGCCCTGTAAAAATTCATTTTTAACACCTCTCCCCGCAGTTCTTATTTGTGAGTTGCCGTGGACCCTTTCTGCAGGGATAGCAACTACGGCCATTAATCAGCTAATAAACTTGATAGACTGACATCGCAATGTCCTTCATTCTGACAGAATGACGATTTGGAACTGAACAATACAGTATTTATGTAAATGTTATCGGTGATGATTTTAGCATATTGTAAACAAAAAATGGTATTTACGTAGAAGATGTGTAGAATGTCTAACAAAGAATCAGTTAGGCTCGAACCGCCTATAACAAAAAACTGTGGATAACTGCTGTCAATACATCAGTGAAATTCCGTGTATATTTTGCAGCTTAATCACCATTATTCATGTATGTCGCAGCAAAATCGACCCTTATCTAGGAGGAAACCAATGAATTAAACGCGTTTAAACAGACTTGTTTCATGGCACAGGATATTCAACTACAGACTGACACAAAAGATGAGATATGCTGAATTACTGGAGGATGCTAAAAAAGTATACGTCGAACATGGAATAGCATATATTGTTCATCTGACGAAATAAAGAAACTAAAACTCTCACTCGTTAGCTACGCACTACGACGGAACGGCAAGGGGCAGGTCAAAAGCATGATTCGCAGTGTGCCAACACCTTGCTGGAAAATGTCAAGAGAGGGCCATAAACTCTATGGATGGATAGCTTGGGGAGATGAAATGACTACAACGGAGCGGGACTGCACTTATCGACAAAGTACAACCGAAGCCCGGTACAAGATTTGACAAGCAATCACATCAGACATTATACCAGAAAGTAATGGCCAATGGTGGCAAAAGACGTGAGGATGTCATAACCCCTCAGAATATTCAATGAGTAAAAATAAAAAACATAAAAAATATCGTACTTGTAATGCACAACTTTAACCGTGCCATTTGCTATGCTTTTTGCCAGGGTTTTCGTCGCATCTTCCAAACTCAGCCAGACAGCAGAGGCGCCTCAATTATACTTTAGAATTTTATATTTTTTTAAAATCACAGCTTTTCACCTGCTACTCCGGCAACTGTCACTTTTGCTACGTCCTTCAATACCGTCGAACCGGAACTTGAAAGGCCTATTTTCTTGTCCGCTTCAAGCATTAGCTTCCTTCCCAGGAACTCGGCTGCCTCACCAACCTTTTTCACTAGAAATTATGAAGGTGAAATAAGTGACGCAAAATGAAGCTGAGTCCGACGCTACCCAAAAAACCGCTGATCTTCACCGCGATTTTACTGCCTTTGCGAAGATAACTGACGCCGTT